AGAAGAAGAAGAAGAAGAAGAAGAAGAAGAAGAAGGAAGAGGAGGAGGAGGAGAGGGAGGAAGGGAAAGGAGAAGAGAAGAGAGAAGAGAGGAGAGGAGAGGAAAAAGCAGACAGCGTCTCCGAGGAGCCCAAGGCTGTCCTCTGGCCTCCACATGATGCACACATACCTGCACACACATGAATTTGTAAGAAAACAAACAAAATGCAAAGGCATACTATATGCATAGACTTGACATATCCTTTTGTATATCTCAAATCATATCTCAATTATCTTAACTCTCTAATCATAATGCAATCCAAATAATAGAAATGCTATGTACATAGCATTATTACTTAGGAAATGTAAAGAAGTTTGAACATGTTTAATATAAATGTAATTTTCTCTCTCTCTCTCTCTCTCTCTTTTTTTTTTTTTTTTTTTTTTTTTTTTTTTTTTTGGTCCTTTTTGGTTTTTCAAGATAGGGTTTCTTGGTGTTAACAGCTCTGGCTGTCCTAGAACTCATTCTGTAGACCAGGCTGGCCTCGAACTCACAGAAATGTGCCTGCCTCTGCCTCTCATTTGCTGGGATTAAAGGTGTGTGCCACCACTGCCTGGCTATCTCATGTGTTTTTGAACAGTGGTTGTTTGAGCTTTTAGAAGTAGAATCAGTGGGTATGGAAGGTGAGCTATATTACATCTGCAAGTCAAAACTAACACAGTATTCCTCACACTAGGAAAAACAATGGCATTAAGTCACTTTATGGTTTCTGAAGGACACCCTACCGGATTCCCACGAAGGCTGATGAAAACAGGCCAGGGAGTGTTCACTGAGTGCTTGCCTGGCATCTAGTACCCACCCCCACACAGTTATGGCAACGGCTTTATGGCTTTTACCTCCCACCACACCCTTCAAAAGGGCTCTACCAGGATGGAGTTTATCCCAAAACCAGGACTAAGCATTTGGATTATGCTGTCACGGGGCTGCAGTTCTCAAGCTTATGTGTGCCTTGAGGGTCCTAAAGTTTTCATGA